AAAGTATTTTGGGTCATGTTTAATAAGTATATCACTTATCTATATTTTGTTCTATTACTTTTACAATTTATCTTTTCAACTATTTTAATTTTATCTGGAATCCAACTTTTTTTTAATGTAAGAGTACTGCTATTTATTCAGCCACTGATTAGCTGATTGAATTTGGAATCCAACTTTTTATATGGTGAAATGCAGTTGTTCTTTCCATATCATAAGACAATGTTCCAATAATAAGGAAATTTTCTTTTCTCCACTATATAAGTGATGCATCAGTATCTGACATCACTCGCTTGGTAAGTGATGGATAAAATCACTTTTATGGTAAGTGATGGTAAAAAATGGATACTTTTGCCCATCTATTTTCAAGAGGCTCACAGTGACTGTACACCATGGAGACAGCCTTTTAAGACACGTGCAAATAGGAAATTTAAATTCACCTAGCAACCCTAGATGCATTTTGCTGGATCAAGCAAAGAGAAAGTCTTGTTAGGCCAGGTGCTTCGAATACTTTATTTGAATCCTGCAATGTATTCAATGTTGAAGAGTAGAGCAATGTTTTCTATTTTTTTCAAGAAAATAAAATGTCTTGAATGTCATAATGAGAGTAGGCTGCCTCATAACTTCACTTGTCCAACACTTATTTAGAATATGGGCAAAGCTGTACACCACAAAATTTCCACATTTCCTAAAGCTTCCTGAAGTTCTTGGAATGATTTAGGATACTTGACATGATATATTACTTAACTGGCAAATTTTTTTGTATTCAAGAGGAAAAAATCCTGCCCCAAGTAGCTCTGATTTATGGCTTAATTCAGTATGCTATCCATAGAAAGTCCTTAAATACTGTCCTTGGCTGGTTACCTATCCTTGGCTGAAGGCTCACATATTTACTGGGTTGCAATTTACATGCAGAAGGAAATCTTCTTTCGTAAAAGTCATAATCCACTTGCCTTTGCCTTTTGTGAAGAGAAAGAAACATCGAAAACTTCAAGGACTGCTGTACTGTGTGAAAGTTAACTATGCATTGTCCATGGAGTCCTGGGTAGGAACCTAGTGCTACGATTTATATGTGTGAATGACCATTTCTCCCTTTTCCTTGGAACTGGATGGAAATTATTTTGGTATCCTGCCATTTGGCTATAATGTCCAGCGATACTGAACAAAAAGTAGAACATAGAATCAGGCAAATCAGTTTTTCTCTTAGGAACTGGTGGCATGTGGTTATTATGAGCTGGAATCCATACTACAGATTTAGGGCTAGTATCAAGCACCAGTACTCAGTACTCAAAGTCCACCAAAATATCTTAAGTTTATGAGCATAAGCCCAAATCTAATCCATGTGACAGTTTTCAGCACGTTGGTGGTATTGTAGTTAGCAGAGCTGTCTTTCAATCCCCTGACATTTAAAGCTCATTACCTTTAGAGATTTGGGGGAGACTATCAGAGTCAGACTTGGGAGTGGGAAATCTCCAACTCTACAAAATGAAGTTCAGATTTTTTCTCTAGATTTTGATCTTGGTGAAGAATTCAGAGTGATTTCACAATATAGGAAAAGAAGATCTGTGATTTATGGTTTATGATTCACATACTTCTACGCCTTACTATCAATATCCATTTCTACTATATATTAGAAAGATCTGAGGAAAATCTATTTTGATGCTATTGGCACACCACAGTGGGACATGTGGAAAGTTGTTCCACGCTACTGGGGGGAAACACAAGAGTGTGAGGGAGGCACATATGCCTTCCCCTCCCTTAAATTCCTCATCACTCCACTCATGGACAACATGAAGAGGACAGGAGAGTTTTTAGTCATGGGAAAAAATTATTAGCTAGGGAGTTAGTATAGGGGCTAAGGCACTTACCTTACCTGTGGAACCCCTGGGCGGGTGCCCCAAGCACTGCCAGCAGTGACCCCCAAGCACTGCTGGGGGTGGAGCAAAACAAAACCAAAAGGAATCACAAGTTGTGAAATCATGATCAACTCCAGGTCAGTTTGGGAAGGAGATATCAATTGCTCATGGTGTTTGTGGAGCAAAGACTTGTCTGTGAGATCTAGCTAGGATTGTTGGCAAACATCAACATGCTTTTCAGATGGTCACACAAATGTTAAGCAGAAAACAAGCTTTCAGTATGTTCCATTAGGAACTCCTATCATTTTCTCTGCAATGTTTCTTTGCTGAACAGTTACTGAAACACGCAAGTATTAGGATACCGCTCTCTGGTCTGTGGACCATCCTGGATAATTCTGAGACGCCCACTGGCGACATTGAAAAGTCTGTATTGATATTGTCAAGTTTATTTTCTAAGTTAGACTAGAAAATTATATGAAGAAATTCAAGCTCTAAATGTCATAATCACGTCATTTTTATTAAAATAGCTTATAGTCTCCAGATTGTATAGGTTAAGATTTATTTCATATGCTCCATCACTTTCACTTATCAGTGATATATTTCCAATATCATCAAGAAGTTTGTTCCAACTTCCCAGAAAACATTTTACTCACTATAAAATACAAATACTCTGATTTATTTTTAATAAGCCACTGCTAGTAACAAGATAGGGACATCATCAATACTGGTAGCAGATATTTTTAAAAATAAATAAAACCGTTAGAAGCAACAGAAAACAGCCACCTAGTCAACACCACTAAAAATATATGTATATAATAAATGAATTTGACTTTATGTAGCTAAAGGCATATTTTGGAACACATTTATATATAAACTCCTAATCAGTTTATGGAGCTAGTAAGTTTCATTTGCTATAAAAGGAACAATCAAATGTGCCACAAATGTCAATTACAATCAAATTAAAGATGTACTTTATCAAAATAAGCAATTCATAGCAGAGTGTTCTTACAAGTGAATATGTACCAAAATAATAACCTGACTAATAATCAGAAGTAATTTATAATTAATTCAGCATTTTGCCCAGTCTGCTCCACTGGTATTTCTGATCTTCTTGGGTGATACAAAGATAAGCAGGAAAGTATGCACATAATTATTTATTTAAGTCAAATAACTTGTTCAGTTAATAGAGATGATCTCTACTGAGAAGTGCTGTATTGTCATAGTGTAAGGAAGTGCTATACAAATATCAGTATTAAATAGTTTATTAGGCTTTAGCTTATGGATATTTGAGTTACATCTTATTCTCATGTAAATATACAGCTCTTCTTTCTTTCTTTTTGAATTTTATTGTTTTGGGGCCACACCTGGCAGTGAGCAGGGATCATTCCCAGGGAGCTCGGGACCATATGGAATGCTGGGATTTGTACCCAGACTGGCCACTTGGAAGGCAAGCACAGTCCAATCTACACCTTCTTATATGAGAATTGTTTTTCGTGCTTTTAACAATCAAGCTAGTTTTACTCCCATTTTACAGAAGCAGGTCCAAGATGCCCAGCCTCCCCACTGTCTTGATGTGGTAGTTCTTGGGGACAAAGCTCATAGTTTACTTTCAAACATCCTGATAGTGAAAACTCAGAAGCAAAGAGAGACTATCTCCTCCCCCCCCCATCATATTATTAGCAGAACCTAAAATCGTTTTCATTTGGTAAAACTTAGCCTGTTTTTAGGTTTGATTTAGAAAGCACTTCTTCCATAAAACATATCCCACCAAGATAAAACCATTCATTCCTCTGTCCCTCCTTTATTCATAACTTTTCCAATGACACCCATCATACCATATAATAACTGGTGATATGCGCATCACTTTCCTTCTATGGAATAACTTATCTCTATCCCTTTCTCTAGTTCTGGCATGAAGTAGTTGTTCAATAGTGTTTTTTAAAAAAATTGAGTGAGTTGTCCTCTCCACCCCAACAAGAAAAACAAGAAAAACCTGGATATTGAAAATATTCATGTCCTTGAAGTTAATACTCTTCATGGGACAGGAAAAGACTTAATATGGCACGAAGTTCACATAAAAAATTTATGTAGTTTAAAAATATAGGCAAAAATGAAAATGAGGGCTGGAGTGATAGCACAGCAGGTAGGGCATTTGTCTTCCATATGACCGATCCCGCGTTTGATTCCCACCACCCCATAGGGTCCCCTGAGCACCGCCAGGAGAAATTCCTGAGTGCAGAGCCAGTCGTAACCCCTGAGCATCGCTAGGCGTGAACCAAAATGGAAAAAAATGAAAATGATTTGACTCAAATCCAAAATATCATAGACGCTAATATCACAAGTGAACATAATCAGAAGTGGACATGAAACTATCTGAAAGCAAGAAGCTGAAAGTAGACTATAGACCGAACATGATTGCCACTCAATGTCTCTTTTGCAAACCACAGCACCCAAAAGGAGAGAGAGAACAAAAGGGAATGCCCTGACACAGAGGCAGGGTGGGATGGGGGGGAAATAGGGGGTTGGAGGGATACTGGGATCAGTGGTGGTGGAGAATGGGCACTGGTGGAGGGATGGGTACTCGATCATTGTATAACTGAAACCCAAGCACAAAAATCGGTAAGTCTACAACTGTACCCAATGGTGTTTCACTAATAAAAAATTTTTTTAAAAAAGAATTTCATTTCTTGACAATCAAGTTTTTATTGAACTGCATCATTTTTAATTTCCTCTCCTTAAGAAAGGAAGGAAGAAGATATGGATATTGTTGATAAGAAAGAGGCTTGCCAGAAAAAGAACCCCAGTAAATATCAGTAATTCAGCTCTTTTCTTGAGAAAGGGCCTTCCAGACACTCTACCTTTTATCATCAGGCTGGCGAGGGTGGAAGTGAGCTGGAAAACATCAAAATGGAAATATTCACCAAGTCCTTACCTCATGCCATATATTTCATCAAGATTTTTCATAGATGCTTTCATTTCACTCATGTAACATGGGTTAGATGTCATGGTCCCTAGTTTAGAGGTAAAGATACTTAAGATTAACCAAATGCATTGCTGAGGGTACAAACTCAGTGCCCAGAGCTGGTGAGACCAGGTTCCATGGCTCTCCTGACTGTCCTCTATAATGATCTCTGTTTCAGAACAGTTATTCACTGATGATATGGCAACCAGAGTCATTCTATCTTAAAACACTTGGCTTAGGCAATCTCACACTTGCTAAATTGTAATTTGAGGATTCCTTTCAGGTGAAGCTGGAGGATATGGCTGTATTCTCTGGGCATCTCGTGGAAGCCGCGTTTAGGTAAATTGTTGTCGTAGTAGTGATGGCTGACAGGGATGTCCTCCACAGTCTTCGAGAAGGGCCAAAACCCATAGAGTTTCACATTCTCACACAGTTCTATGGCCACGCTGGTGATCATCAAGCCAGAAGACAGGCGGTATTCCATCACACCTTTAGTTCTCCAGAAAAGGGCAAGGTTTTTCAGGTATTTGGGATGGAAAAAAACCACCTTTGATCTTGCTTTGAACAACTTCACAGTTTCATACACTCTAAAAGAGGAACCGGTGTTCGCCCTGAAGGAGAAGGCGGGCAGAAGAAGAAATGCATCTCCGTAGCTGGCAATGTCCTGCAGAAATAATTCTCTCTTTTCCTTTAAGTTCCCATATCTGTCAAATTTTTAAAAAGAATCATAATAATGACTATGGTCATGAAAGCTGCAGGGTAGGTTGTAGCATGAATTTAGCAGGGACACCACTGGTAACAGAGGCAAAGGGCATATCAGGGACAGCTCTCCAGGGGAGCCTCAGCCAACATCAAGGGCTGGGGCTTCACTTCTCTGTCTTGGTGGCTGAGGCTTTCATTTCTACTGCTCTGCTAGGCAATACACCAACTAGACACATATTTCTATTATTTTATTTTCCAACTCAGTCATTTTTTCCTAAGGTTGCTTTTCCACGATGAAATACTTTACACATTTATGATGAAATGTTTTGCCAAACATAGGGCACTCATACATTTGATATGCACTTATTTATTAGCAGGGGTCTGTGAGGGGAACTGGAGGGGTTTCCAGTTTTATACTGAGAGCCACTAGGGGTACAGGCAATGCTGCTGGAGAGCATGAAAGGCAGGCATTGAGCTGGAGGGTCTCATCTAGGAAAGTAAGTACAACACCCCTTTGTCCTAGCCCTCTGGCCCATAAGCAATTATAATTTGCTTTGCTCACCTTTTGTACCCATGTTATTATCAAGTAAATCCCCTTTGGAAAACATATATTATAAACAAACATCAATTTTAAATTTCCTCCATGTATTATGGTAATTTTATATAGTCAATCTAAATAATGCCCCAGTAAATAAACATACAAGCATAACTATGCGTATGTAGAAAATAAGCTTTGGGATGACAAATATTTTATAGTTCTGTAAAAGATAAGAGAACTATTGAAGAGGCAGAGTCCACTGATGATAATTATTAGTCACTTGAAGAAAACAATGGAAGAAAAGTATGGGATTTTTCTTTCCCAACCAAAATTTTGTATTAGTTACAGTGTGAAAAGAGAAAGTGGAAATTACATTTTAGCAATAAACTATCCAAGGTGAAAATGCAATTTTACCGGTTCTCCTACAGTTCAGTCTCTTTAAGTTTTTTAATAGGCTACATGCTACTAAGAAAAAAAGAGCATTACTAAAATGATAAAAAATTTTAATTAATTTCACTATTATTAAAAATGAGGAGGAACTATTAGTGTTAAACATTGTATGCCTAGAACTTGATAATGAAAAATTTTATAAATCATATGCCTTAATTTAAAAAATAGATTAAAAAAATAGATGAGAAACTAAGTAAATTCTCACTCGATGTGGAACTCTCAGCTGATCATACATATAATGAACTTCCGCCTTGAAAAAAGTGAAAAATTTCAAAAACAGTCTTACCTTATTTCCCAAAAAGTCAGTTCTAGCATAAGCCAGTGTCCGCAACCAGACTGCTGCTCAGATTAAGAAACTTGTTAAACAGTAGGAGGGGAGGAATTGTTGTTAAGCAGTTGCATAATGTAAGTATGAGGTACTTACTTCAGCTTTATGATACTGGGATTGATCGTCACAAGATTGGTTTTACTGCCAACATCTTTACTGACACTTCCTGTGATGGGAGGGAGGTTGCACCTGAAATTTGGAAGAAAAACTACTTTCAAATACTTGTTAAAAAATAAGTTTACACATAGTATCATAGGCCATAGAAAGAACCTCATTACTGGGCTGCCCATAATAAAAATACTTTCTAGGTCATTCCCATGTTCTTTTAAAAAATCAAAGATTATTTCCAAAATATAACCATAAGAAACACCTAGGGGAAAATGTTGAGTGTTGTATATAAACAACATTATGGAAAGCCATTCATCACCATTTTTTGTTTCTTACAGTCTTGGAAGTAAAAAAAAAGTTGACAACTATTTTATAAACTACTCACGTGCACAGTCCAAATAATCACAAGCTTAATTGTGAAATAAATGTTAATGACATCAGCTATATCTAATCTTCATGTAAACCTTAAGCTAGGAAGGATAACATCAAAAGGATTTCCAGTATCAAAAAATGCCTGGCAGCAGCAAATGTTGGGTATAGAAACATATGCATTTATGTTGATTTTACCAAAGAAGTAGCTGTTGAGATCTATTTTGCTTTTTTAAGGCTAAATTTGTTCTATTTCCTATATCTGCCCTAAGGAAACTGGATGTACGCATAATACTCACCACAGATGTTTTGGGAATTTTAAGTCCATAAAAAGTCGATTACAGGAAGAATTATTTATCATCATTATGGCCTTTTTGGACTGAGTACTTTAACAAAATGGCTAAATCATTCAGGTATTGACCATTTTAAATAAATCATGAGGAACACATTCAATAATTGTTGGACTGTTGGGTCTGTCCTTCTGTTATTACCTTCAGCATACAATTTAAGATGAAATTTAAGAGAAGTGTGCTACTCATTCAAAACTGTGTTTCTTTTTTATTTGCCATAAAGGGCAGAATGAAATCGATAAGGATCAAAGAAGCTCCTCTGTGGATGTAATCAGTGCTCCTAAAATCGAAAGAAACGGATTTCAACTTGCTTTTTTTCTAAAGGTGCATTTCAACTGAATTCTATCCTCAAATGAATAAGTCACTTTATTCCCAGCACATTGTCAAAGTGGAGAAGCTCTGTAGCTTGACTTCTTAGGAAAGCACACACAGAAGCCACTTTTGCTTAGATTTTTTTTTCAGGCTAGCTGGTATGGAGTTGATTGTAAAAGACCAGAATTTATAAACTGCACACAACTTTTTAAACGTTTTTTTTTTAATTTCCAGCCAAAGGACTAAATAAACAATGTGGGGTATGATTTCTCTTAGCATTGCCCTAAGTTTGAAGTGAGAACTAAAATTTCTTGATACAGGCTGTAAAAAACAAACAAACAAACAAACAAACAAACACGCAGGGGAAGGAAGAATCCAACAAGGTTCTGACAAGTCCTGCAGAGCTGACCCACTTCCACTGTAATCTCACCCCAAGTTTCTGAATAGAAAGTGACCCCAGCACAGTTTAAAGCTATTGCGACAGTGTGAGAAACCTGTGGTCCAGTTAACACTGCCTGATAATCTACCAAGATCATTCGCATTTTAATTAATAATTAAACAGAGTCTGGCAAACTCCCCGTGGCATACCCAATATGCCAAATACCAGTAACAATGATGGGTCTCGTTTTCCTAACCCTGAAAGAGCCTTGAATATGGCACTTTAAAAAAAAAATCTCAGGGCTAGGACGAAAGAGACGCTACTGGGGCCTGCTCGAGGCGATGGAGGAACAACAGGGTGATCCTGATCATGAATAATTAAACAATAACTGTATTTAACGACACATCTCTAAGGCCAGAACTGACATCTTTATACCTTCCCTTTGAAATATCCATGTGGGGCTGGGGGTGTGTTACAGAGCACAGAGCCCACAGTTGATTCCTGGAGTTGCCCAAATAAATAAATAAATAAAATAAAATAAAATAAAATAAATAAAATATCCAATTGATCACTGGCTTAAAAAGTGATCAGCTTGGGCCAGGGATGTAGCTCAGAGACAAAGCACTCTTCTGGCACGTGTGAGTCCGTGTATTCACTCACTGTACTACGCGTGCCCAGGCCAGCACCTTGACCGTTCTTACCGAAACACGAAATCCGACTTATCAATTTCTGCGCCGCAGAGAGACTGATTCAGAATCCCCGCGTTTCCAACCACAGCACACTGATTGTACGGGTAGTCTATGACGGGCTGCGACTGTCAGGAAAAAAAGGAAATCGCCATGAAAAAGTCTTTATTTTTAGAGCCACGACTGTCATCAGCTTAATGCAGGCGGTTAAATGACTGTTCAAACTAAGAAAAGAAAAGGAAGCAGAAAGACTTAGAATAAAAATTCCCAGACACTGGTTTCCTTGCTCTGAAGAGAAATACACAGCACATCCTATGCAAGGTAAGATAATGACACAAAATGTTTCTGGCCAGAACAAGCAACCTAACGCATTTATGTCACGCAGTTTAATAAATTATAAAACGAGACAGGCAAAGTCCCACGTAGTGCCTTTCCGACACACCGGCACATTTTCAGCAAAAGAGAGAAAATAAAGCAATTAGAAAGTAACATTAAATCCTTTATTCATGGGCATAAAATTAATAGCTAATTTAGCACAAGTTTCCTGTGGGTCTTAAACAGTTCGCCTCCAGGCTCAGTGGTGGGGAGAGATTTATGCCACGCATCTCCTCAAATGACCAGCCACAGGGCTCTGAGGAGGCCCACAAACTCCACCAACGGCATCTTTAAAATTCATTTCCAAGGTCTGTGTCTTTTATATTTCCTCAGATTTTCCAACTTGCCTCCCCCAAAATGTTGGGGATGAGGAATGATATGTGGGTTTGTGACAGAATTCGCTGATTGCTTTCTGGAAAAGTAGATAAGGGCAAGTTTAGAGGATGCTTGCAAAAAGTGGCAAGTTGGCTTTTGGTGCAAAGAGTCAAAGGCCCAGGGATTTCTTTTGTCCTGGTTTATAAATCCTTTCTTAGATGTGAGTAGCCCTTACTGTGAGAGACCCTACCTGACTGAAAAGGTGACTTGGGCATGGGAACGAGACTTGGGCATGGGAACGAGACTTGGGCCTGGGAACCTGATTGAGGCTTGGTGGTTGGGCCCGAAATCGTCTCTTTTCCTTACTCAGGTGCTACCTGTGTCCCAGTGAAAAGTCCCAATTCTTTGGAGTCAGAAAGTACAAAGATGTGGGGGGGTCAGCAGGAAGGGTGTTTCAGCAGGAAGGGTGTTTGCCTTGCATGTGGCTGACCCAGGTTCGATTCCCGGCATCCCATATGGTCCCCTGAATACTGCCAGGGGTGACTCCTGAGCACAGAGTCAGAAGTAAATCCTGGAGAACCACCAGGTGTAGCCCCAAAGCCATTAAATAAATTTTTTTTAAAAAAAGACAATGCAAAGATGCGCCTCCTCCCACCATGGGAACCGTAACTTTTGATTCAGAGTTCACTTTTCCTCTTTCTTGGCCTGGAGGAACATAGGCGTTGTGAGAAGCAGTGAAAGCACCAGCTCAGACAGCACTGTGGGGTTCCCCACTTTCCTCGTCTGTCCCCAAAGTTTGGGTACAAGACCTCAGGGGCAGAGAGAGAATACACTGTTGTTCGTCTCCTATCTCTCACCACAGATCTAACAGCTGGACTGCAAGAGGCGACTTTTCTGTGTCTGGAGGCCCAATGGCCCTCACGGGGTCAACCCCCTAACATAGGCAAAACCACCTTTGCACCAGCTTGTCTGCCAACTGGTGACTGATCCAGAACTAAAGACTGAATTATTGTCAAACCCTTAGTCAATGAAAATTGGCCACAGTGCATGAAATGAATCAGAAGGAAAGGGACAGATAGAGAATAACTGCATTCATTTGTAGTTTATAAATATATATATATATATATATATATATCACTATCACCCCATTGTTCATAGATTTGCTCATGCGGGTACCAGTAATGTCTCCATTGTGAGACTTATTACTATTTTTGGCATATCAAATTCGCCATGGGAGCTTGCCAGGCTCTGCCATGCGGGTGGGGTTCACTCGGTAGCTTGCCGGGGTCTCCAAGAGGGATGGAGGAATCGATCCTGGGTTGGTTGCATGCAAGGCAAACGCCCTACCCACTGTGCGATATATATATATCAGAAGACTCTATTCATGGCCAGGGAAAACAGGAGTTAGGAAGATTGGTTAATGGTTGGAACTAACCACAAGTGTGTAGGGGGCTGAGGGTAGGTAAGATAGAAAAGAGACCACTATGATAATAACAGCTGGGAATGATCACGGTGGAAAAGAGCTGAGTGTTAAAAGTAGGTAAGGGATATTCTGGATAATCTTTCAGTAACAATATTGCAAACCACAGTGCCCAAAAGGAGGGAAAGAGAGAGATGAAAAGTGGCTGCCATAGACACAGGTGGAGGGGTGGGGGATGATGGGAGGGAACCTGGGGACACTGGTGCTGGGACATGTACACTGGTCGAGGGCTGGGTGTTTACTGAATGACTGAAATCCAATCATGAACAGTTTTGTGAAAAATAAATAAATAAATAAATAAACAAATAAAATTGGCCACAGTGGAAGATATTTACAGCACGAATATTGGCAGCTAATATCAATCAGGGAGCACTCTCCACAGCATGTTTATCAGCCCTAAGGTTCTGGGAAGCCTCCTCTCACTCCCAAGCCCCCCAGACCCCTGTCCCAAACTGCCTGCCAGAGGGTCCTGCTACTGCACCTGGGAGATGCATAATGAGCAAAGAGAACTCAGCTGCAGCACTTCTAGATTTATCTCTAAACATCACACAGGGTTGATGCTTCAAGAGGAACAAATGCACAGCTTCTCCAGACCATAACTCACATGAGAAGTGTGCAGATGGGAATGGAGACAGGCCTATCTGGGAGTCCAGATGTGGGTTCGAACATAGGCTGTCTGCTCCAAAGTCCCAGCCACTAGCCTGGGATGCAGGTCTGCCTCAACTTCCATGGAGAAAACACTCAAGTTCATACCTTCTTCCTCTATCTGCAGGCACTTGGCAAAGTCACTCACTCCTGAAAGAACGCTTTCCAGATCTCTCGGGCTTTCTTCAGTCACAGCATTTCTAGCTCAGGATGTCTTCAGACAGTGTGTCAACAGTGCCACATTCAAGTGTGCATTTTAGAGATAGGCTAGAATGCTAATGTGCTCTTTATCATACCCTGGGCTAATCAGTGGGAGACACCTAGCTCCAATTCAGCGCTCAGAAGAAGGAATGTTTTTCTCTGATTTCTTGATCAACCGAGAAAATCCTCCCTCTGCCCTGGACTCCCAGGTTCAAGAAGAAATGGAATAAAGAGCAGATTTCAAGGTTTCCTAGCACCAACCTGCTAAGGAAATGGAGATTCGCACCGCACCACTCACCTTCCTGCTTGTAGATCACTCAGGCTGAAAGCTGATATTGTGATTTTTTTTCTTTCAAAGTAACTTGGCAAAGTGTTTTGGGGAAGTGACTTGCCAACATTTAAGCAAAAGAGTCTATTAGACTTTGCTTGTGCCTCAGAAGAGACTGAAGAGCCTTAAGACCAGAGCAGATCTGAGCAGATCCAGTGTGTGTGGGCAGGGGGGAAGGGGGAAGGTCCTCTCTAGTGGAGATGGGTCCAAGGGGAGGAAATACTGAAGCGACACAGCAGAGTAGCCTGCCTTTGCCACAGTTACTGTATGGACTTGAGGATTTCCTCCCCAGTCTGTTGAAATCAATACAAATTTTGACTCTCTCTTAATCACAGATAAAATTAACAAGCCTCAGTTCTTTTCTTTCAGGGTGCCCATTAGAGGCAAAATACCCCATTGCTTTTCTGTTCTGCTATCTGAAGCAAGGAAAATACTAGCAAAAAAATGCCTGGTGTAAGAGTGGGCACTGCAGAACTTTCCAAGGCTTATCTGACAGGGAACATCAATATTCCTTAGTTATTATCTTTTCAATTATTGGTGATTTCAATGCAGCAGGGGGTCATTTTTTAGAATGCTTTATGAGCTATCTTTTTAGCTACTTTTCCTTCCAGAAAATTTGCATTGTGTTTCTACTATCATTTTCTATTTATTTCTCATTCCTTCCCAACATATTTTTCCCACTTTGAATTATAATACAAAACAGTTACATGACCAGCAATAAATTATTCGAAAGGAGCCAAAGGTTCAGAGAAAGGGAATTAATTGTAGGAATCACATTTTCTGAAGCATAAATACAGGGATCCCAGTTTTGATGATCATACATGACCTAACTGCTTTTATTCAAATCATGAGGCGATGCCTTAGAGTGTGTGTTTGAGTGCTTTTCACAACAAAATTTTCCCCCAAGTTGAGAGTCACATTAAGGGACAAGATTTTCCTTGTAGTGATACCATATTCATTTATCAGTATATGATGAGTGCCTACAGGTCCTAGAGAACGTGGTAGAAATCTGGAATACACCAGTGAACAGAACAGACCCAAATCCTTCTCTTTTAGCTTCTGTTGATTTGCCATAAATTCTCAAATATTTACTTCCCCCAAATTAGTCATGTAAACCTATATTTCTCTGTGAGGAAACTGATTTAGTCAGGCTAAATGAAAACTCTAAGAAACTTCTTTCAGGTGGCTTATTATTGTAGGAATTTAACTTCAAGTTCTTTTTGATGGCAAGTAAGAATATTAGGATGATCAAACAGATGCCTCCAGTGTTAGTTATATTCATCTCGTGTTATAGCTCACATAGGTACAATTTTGTGGGTTGACTCTTCAAGGCAATGCTCTGCTCTGCTGCAGCAGCAGTAAGAAGTGTCGATCCAAAGCAACCTCCACATCCAAAGCAGCCTCCCCATACCCGGACCTGAGTTTATATAGGTTACAAATTCCCACCCCTTGCTGTCTGGCATCTGCTTAAGTAACTACAGGTTTGTGGGACTAACCAATTAGGTGGCAGATACCCTATGCAAATAGGCCTTTTATGATGACCAATTAAATAGTATATGTAAATAAGGAACCAATCAAAGGTCTTCTTTACCTGATCTCTCCCGCCTTATTTCTTCCATATCATTATGGTTCTCACCCTAAACTCCATGATTATTGTTTAGAAAGACTAAGCACTTCATCTTTTTAAAGATAAATCGTGAAGACCATTTTGAAGATCATTTTGAACATTGATCATGAAGATCAATATTGGGGAGGCTTATCATTGAAGGAAAAAAATGACACCCCCTAGAACTTCCCTGCACTCCAGATGCTTTTTGAAAACAATCCATAAAAAGTGTCTTATTGGATGGTAACAGTAGGGTCTTTTAATCATCCCCCAACTCCTCCACCCCATACTTATGATGCAAAGTGGAAGAAAATTCATCCATAATGGTAGCAAAATTAAACCACCTTAAATCTAACTCACCTTTGGAAACATGTCAAAAATGCTCTGTTTAATTAGGAATTCAAATTTACTTTCCACCTCGAAACTCATGTTAGTCCCAACTGGAGTGTTACTTTGAGAGACAATGAAGTTATGAACAGCATCACAACAGGAAGCAAGCTTTGCTCTGAAAAAGAAAAATAGTCCAAGTGAGCTAAGGAATAAGTTTACATAGTAAAAAATAGAGAGTTCCATGAAAACGCAAAAGAAAATGTTGCCATATTGACTTTCAGAAAGAAAACAAATAATTCACCAAAATAACATTTGTACTATGTTCCATGCTAACTGGTGTGGGATGGTGGTGTGCTTGAGTTAACAAGATAAAATAGCAAGAAATGTTAGCTGACTTAAACTCAAGGTAGGGATCCTCTCATTTAAAAAGAATTAATGAGTTTAAGTTTGAAATCTAAGAAGTCAAGTTTGAAATTTTTGAAATCCTTCTACCAATGTTATGTCAAAAAAGAGAAAAATATCAGAATAATTATAGCCACTTTATAATATAAAATGCAGAAACTCAACTAAGAACTGTGCTACAAATGTCTATTGGTAATCATTCAGAATAAGAGAAGTCCAATGAAAAGAAGAATCATTAAATATAGATTTTCTCAAAAATTGTTTAAAGGTATATAACTCATGATTTAAAATATATTTACATTGTGAAAAGATCATCTCAAGCTAACCACGAGAACCAAATTGTCATCTTGTGCTATTTGTCTACTGTTTTCTAAATTATACTTTTGTCATTTTATTATAAAAGTTTCAGCTTTCAAGAGAAAGCTGAAGGAACTGGACAACAAGCATGTGAATAATTACCAACTGGACTTTACAATGAACTTTTAAAATTATCTTGCCTTATTTAGCCACCAATCCATGTTCATTCTTATCATTATTGCAATTCAAAGTAAACTGCAGGAAAGACCTAAACAGATACTTCTTCAAAGAAGGCATATAGACAGACTACAGACACATGAAAAATGCCCAACATCACTACTACTGGGGAAATGCACATCTATATCAAAATGCATTTCTGTTTCTTACTGATGAAAATGACCCTGTCTAAGAAAAAGAAAGGAGAGGTGTCAGGTTGGTGAGGGTGTGGAGAAAAAGATGCACTGTTGGTGGAAATGTACATTAGTACAGCCTTGACAGAAAACAATATGGAGGTTTCTTTTATTTTTAACTTCTAAAAAAATGTATTTATTTACGTTGGTATTTGGGCCACATCTGGCAGTGCTCAGGGGTTACTCCTGGCTTTGCACTCAGGAGTTACTCCTGATAGTGCTTGGAGAACCATATGGGATATTGGGGATCAACATTAAACCTGGGTTGGCCATGAGGAAGAGCCCTACCCACTCTACTATCATTCTAACCTCCAGTTTTCTTAAAAAGTAAAAACAGAAATCCCATATGATCCAGCATTAGTCATAGATATATATAAATATGAAAACACTAATTTGAAGGAATATTTGTACTTCCGTGCTTATAGCTGTATTGTTCATAAGAGCCTGTGTAAACACAAAAGGACAGCAGCAGTGTATCTCTCCCACCGCCTACGTTCAGTAGTCTCAGGCCATTTCCCCACCCCAGAGAGGTCGATGGTGATGGGCAGGTGGAAGGAAATGAGGGCCAGGCTGGTTGGTGTCAGTTGCGGTTTATTCCAATCCTCTCTCCATTCACTACTGTCTCCGCTCTGCGTCCCCCCCCCCACCAGCCCACTCTTACAATCTAGTTATATCCCCTAGTATGAGAGGTTGGGGTAACAATTACACATAGGTGTGATCACAATCAATAGGGGTAAAAGTTCTTTCCCTCCAGGAAAGCCGCTTCTAGGACAGATTCTCATTTAGCCGGTCAACCCACCCTAGAACGGAATCCCCTGGGTGTGTTTCTCTTCTCCTTCTCAAACAAACATATAAGCATACATAATATTAATCATTTTGTATGGACACAGTCACTTAATCACTTAATCCCCGTTATTCATCGATTTATTTGAGCGGGTGCCAGTAACGTCTCCATTCATCCCGGTTGTGTGCTAGCGTAGCCCAATGGTATCTGTTCGTTCTAGGAACATGCAGAGCCTCAAACTGATCATTTAGGGTCTTGACGAAGAAGTCTGACCATCTTGTAGGTGGGCGTCCACGTGATCTTTTGATGTCCCGTGGAATCCAATCAGTAATGGCTCTAGTCCAGCGGTTGTCTGTAAACCTCATTACATGCCAGCCCATCTGATTTTTGATGTCTTGGCAAATGAGACAACGTCCCTGATTCTTGAGCGTTGACGAAGATCAGAATTCCGGTTTCTATCTCTCATTTGAGTGAATTGTGATTTTCCAAGCATAGTTCTTTCGATTCCTCTTTGAGAGACCCGAATAGCGTTCTCATCCCGTTTTCGTAGGGTCCAGGTCTCTGAGGCATATGTTAATGCAGGAAGAACAGTGGAATCAAAGAGATGTGCTCGTAGCTGGAGGTTCTTTGTCCTTTTAGTTATTTCTTCAATGCTCTTGAAGGCATTCCAAGCCGCTCTCTTCCTCCTGCGCAACTCAGGTGCCAGGTCATTCATCATGTTGATTTCTCGACCTAGGTATATATAACTGTTGCATTTGGAGATGGTGGTTCCATTGAGAATGAATGGAGCGTCAGGAACAAGGCTGTTTCTCATAAACATTGTCTTCGTAAGATTCAGCTGTAGTCCAACCTTTCTACATTCACGGTCAAAGTCGTTCAGCATTTGTGCTGTTTGGTTGATATTTGGTGTTATTAGAACGATGTCATCAGCAAAGCAGAGGTGGTGTAGTTGCCAACCATCTATCTTCACTCCCATGTTTTCCCATTCCAGTCGTTGCATGATGTTCTCGAGAGTGGCACTGAAGAGTTTTGGTGAAATGGTATCACCCTGCCGAACCCCTCTCTTGATATGGATGATTACTTCTTTGTAGAATGGTGAGATCTTGGTAGTGAATCCGCAATAGAGCTCACGAAGGATCCTGATGTATTGAGTTTGTACGCCCTGATTGGCTAGGGCTTCCATGACCGCTTCCGTCTCAACAGAATCAAAGGCCTTCTTTAAATCAATGAACGTTAGACAGAGCGGCATCTTGAACTCCCGAAATACCTCAATGAGCTTGGTTATTGTGTGGATATGGTCGATGGTACTGAATCCTTTTCAGAATCCAGCTTGTTCACATGGTTGTCCTTCATCTAGTGTTCTGCTAATCCTATTCAGGATGACTCGAGTGAATAGTTTGTAGATGACAGACAATAGGCAGATTGGGCGATAGTTGCCAATGTCGTGGATGTCTCCTTTCTTGTATAGTAGTACAGTCCTGCTAGTTTTCCAATGGGATGGAACCTTGCATTCAGACAGGTAGCGTGTGAAGAGCCAAGCCAATGTATTGATGAGTACTGATGGTAAGTTCTTCAGGTGTTCAGGTCTGATCTTGTCTGGGCCAAGTGCTCTTTGTTTCTTTACCGACGAGATGGCATTTTGGATTTCGGAAGGAAGAACATTGGGAACGACATATTCATCATGTGGTATGTGGTATGTGGGCAAGTGGACGTGGCTATTAAAGAGATCTGAGTAGAAGTCATGAATAATCTTCTCCATTGCCCTTCTGGAAGATGTGATAGATCCATCATGATGTCGGAGGGCAGTCATCTTGGTTTTGTAGTTGGTGAAGGACAGGCGGGCATTACGAATGCTTTTCCCAGCTTCTGTCACATCTACCAGTACTGCTGCTCTCCTGTTTTTGAGGTCATCCTTGATGGCTTCTCTGCACTGTTTTGCCAGTTCGGATGTTCGCTTGTGGTTGCCTGAGGCATGTGCCAAGCCACGTTGGCGAATAAGTTCAAGAGTGTTCGAAGAAAGGCGGTTTTTTGTGGTTATCTCTCTCTTGGCATTCCTTGCACAATCATGGAGGTGCTGAATCATTCGATCGTATTCCTCATCAATGTTGTCAATGACGGCATCTTCCCATGTTGCCGCAACAGAGTCAAAGAGCTCCCAGTTGGTGGTTGTTCTGGGATTCTTCTTCTTAAACCTTGTATTCTTTTCTCCTCGTTCTGTGAGGTAAAATTTAGCACGAAGAAGACGGTGGTCTGATCCCGTTTGGAATTTTGGGACAACAGCAACATCGGTTAGGCAAAACTGCTGATTGAATATGATGTGGTCTATTTCATTGTGGAACCATCCATCGGGAGACTCCCATGTCCAACGTTTAGATTCAGCCTTTTGGAACTGTGAGTTACCATGGAAGGTTTTGGTTGACATGATGAACTCAGACAGTCTGTCACCCTGTTCGTTCCATTCCAGGCCATGGGTCCCGATGTGGAGTTCATCGACTGATCTTCTTGGTCCTATCTTGGCATTAAAATCACCGACAATGATCTTGTAGAAGGTGTGATCTTCTTTATAGAACTTCTCCAGCTCCATGTAGAATTTCTCAGTTTCTCTTTCACCATAACTGGATGTTGGTGCAGAGACAACAAAGATAGAAACTGCTGGTAGTGAGCCACATTTATTCAAGTGTAATCGTCCGATTTGGGTTGTTAGGCATTCAAATGAATCAATGCTCGTGACTAAGTTTGTGTTGACAAGGATACCAACACCACCGACGCCTCTTTTATCACATGTTCCAAGGAACAGTTCTTCTCCAGTGTCGAAAACGGCATGATGTGATTGATGTCTTCTCATTTCGGTCAGACCAATGATGTCGTACTTGATCTTTTGCGCTTGTACCATAAGGTCTTCAATGGATGCAGCAGATGCCAGCGTATGAGCATTAAAAGTACAGACAATCATTTTTGTTTTTCTGTGTTTTGGCAGCCTATTTCTGCTTTGGTATTTTATCAGCCTATCCTTCATATCCTTCACGACTCTGCATATTCAGGGTTAGGGAAATGAGATCCATTTATTACTGGATTTGACATATCAATTTGGTCTATTTGGCATAGACCACGGATAGCTTGCCAGGCTCTGCCGTGTGGGTTGGATATTTAAGGTACCCTGAAAAATTAGAGAAAAGTAAATAAATAGTCACGCGGCCGCAAATGCGGCCGCGCGCTCCCGGGTGCTTGTTATGATAATCTCTGGATCCTGGCCGTTGTTGGGGTTACATGGCAGTTGGAGGG